TAGGGAACACTGAGTATGGAACCAGACGAAGGTTTGTTGGGAATAAAAAATGTTTTCAGTTTTAAAAAAAGTTACAACAATTGTCAATACTAAGTGCAGTGCCAGTAAAGCAACAAAAAAAAAATCATATTCATGCCAACTTCGCAAAGTGAAATATATTTCAACGTGTAGTTTCTCTGCTTGCATTTATGGAGGTAGCTTGGATTTTTTACCACAGGAAAAATTAGGTAAAAAGAGCAAAATGGCCAACTGATCCACTACCCAAAGGCAACTGAACCTGACCACCATCACTGGAATCTTTCACTCCCACTGAATTCTGCAGGAGGTGCATTAGAGAGTTTAAAAGAGCAAAACGGCCAACTGATCCACTACCCAAAGGCAACTGAACCTGACCACCATCACTGGCATCTTTCACTCCCACTGAATTCTGCAGGAGGTGCATTAGAGAGTTTCAGGACTGTCTTGGTTGTGACATTTGATGATTTTGATTTGGGGCATGAGCCATCTTGAGTGAAACTATACAATGGTACATGAAACCTACCGGTGTGGAAGGTTCTAAGACCTTCCTCTTGCCTGATCATGTCCAAATGTTAGAAAGGGTGATTTGTAGGGTCTTAGTTACTTGGATTACTAAAAAGGTAACTTGTAAAAAGAGATAAATACTTAAAATAGAATTACACATGTCCATAAAACACGATAAAGATAAAAAAGGCTTTGAAAAGAAAAAAACAAATACACAACAGATGAGTAGAACTGCATTGATGGGAATAAAAACCTTCAAAAGGGTAAAATGTGCTGGAACAAAAACACAGTAACAAATTTTTTAAAAGGATTTACACCAGCCTACACACGAGTCCTAGCACCATGATCTGGGGAGACTAAAAAATTATTTGGGGGATTTTGACACTTTGTTGAATGCACTGTAGTTATTCCTGTCTCTCTGCGTAGCACTGAACCATGAATGTTTGCACCATTCATGTTTACCACACGCGCACATAAAGCGGCTTTCACACTAGATAAATTCCCCGGGAATTCACGGGAAATTGTCGAGGAATTTTGGTCGGTCTGTTCACACTACTGAAAAAATTCCAGGGGAAAAGCTTTTCCCTGGTAAATATTGACCCCTACTCGGGAGTGGGGTTAAAGGAGAAAACCCTGGGGTTTTAACACTTTCCCAGGGAAAAACCAACTGGTGTGAACGTCGGCGGGTTTTAACTTATCATACCTTTTTGCGTCCACGGCTAGTGTGTCAAACCGTAATCTCGAAAGGTCACAGGGTCACAAACAGTACGCCAAATAATTCGCACGGTAACTTGGTCTTGCAATGCAGTACCTTTCAACCTTGCAACACCAACTTGGCATTGCACGACATAAACAACAGAGTTTGTGCAAGCACGAGTACGGCATTGTGGGATTAAACTTCCGCCCACAATTCATTTGCTAACATCCAGATGGGCACCCTCTGTTTACACATTTCCTAGGGTTTGATTGCCAATATGAAACGAGTGTGCATATTAACGGGAAATAGTGTCCCCAGGAGTTACCAAATGGGTCTAGTGTGAACGGTTGCTGGGGTTTTGAAGAGGTACATTTGTAAAAAATCATTTTCCCAGGGATTTATTTCCCGGGGATTGGCTCTGCAGTGTGAAAAGGCCTTATGAGACTCTATGGCCTGGACCAGCCAAACTGCAGCACTGGGTTACATGCTGCAGTTGGGACTATCCCAACTATAAATACTGTGGCTAAGTTTACAGAGCCTGGTCTTGACACAGGTTTCTTGTTCTGTAGCTGTATGGTATAGTCGGTGAAGCATCCAGGGACACATCATTCTTGTTCTCACACTTGCATGGCAGGAACCTGACCCAAGAAAACTGCTCTTGGAACAGGATCACGTACCACCTGCTCATCAGGATTTTGCAGGAACACAGGGAAAACTGTATGGGATTTTCATTTTTGAACAGCTGCAAAAAATAGTGAGATGGCCGACAGTGCCGGAGACGATGAAAAAGTTTAGTAAAATTGGGGTTCATTACCTTTAGCACCCTGTTCCTATTATAGGAGAACAAATTCTACTTTTTCAAAACAACTTACATGTTCATGTATCTAAACAAGCTGTTGAAGATGTCCTCTTTCATATCAGAAAGAAAAGAGAACAGGGCTTTTGGTTTTTGAGGGAAATTTTTGGGTAAAACAGCAGTGTACATGACCGCCCTGAAGAGCTGTGAACGACAAACAAACGATCGTAGTTTGGTTCCTTGACCTGGATGGAGATTTGTTTTGATGAAGCCAAAATACCTGAGTCAGGTAACCAGACAAAACATAAAACTACGGAGTCCGGCACTTTTCAGATTTTTTATTTGACCCCCACAACTTTAGTACCATTGGAAAGGTAATTTCAAAAGAAATTGAATGGTATAAAATTTGGCTCAATAGCTGCAAGTATAGTGAAGTTATGAATTTTTTTGTTATTAAAAATAGGTGTGATCAGTCCGTCACTTTTTGGGGTGGGCACAAGTTTTCTTTTCATCAATGTATTTGAACCACATGGAGTCTTCTTCCTCACCGATTCCACTTCCAGACATGCCAGAGGTGGACAAAGATCTGTAGTTAGTTAAGTCACAGAGGAAGTGTAAAGTAAACAATATCTTTTCCTGTGGAGAACTTTATCAATAATAAACACAGGATACATGTACATGCATACAGTAACAGGTTAGTTGAGTTGGGCTTGAAATTTTTAGTGATGTGTGAAAGATCACTGAAGCATAGTTTTAATGTGATATTCATCAATAAATAACTATAAAAATATGGGACCAAGTCTGTCAGGTGTCATAAGTTAAAGTCTGTTCGTGTTTGACAGGATCTTTGGATAACATTTGATTGAAGCAACATGTGTGGTTTATGCGCTCGTTATTTGCATCTTGCTATCCGCACACCATGCACCAATCTGATGCACATACATACACCATCTGTGCACAGTTGCACGACAGCACCCCAATACAAAAGGGCTGTTCGGCACCAGTTTGACATCGATTTTTGACAAAAAACACAACTTCCTTTTCTTCCTGAAATTCCAAGCTTCCAAATAAACACCGTTTCATATATGTTTCATCAACTCCTTACACATGTTTTGGGGGGATTTTTAACGGAAAAATGCACATGTTTTGTTACCTTTTTGTAGTCTCCACAAACCAAAACAAGGCTTGACGGTGCTTTGGTCAAATGTCTTGAGTCATATATCAAATGAAAGAGTAATAAGCTCTATAAGATGATGACATCATTGTTCCAAACTCGTTTGAAATGCGCAAGATATTAGGCTTAGATGAGATATGTCACACGACACTAACAAAGATGGCTGCACACAGTTGTTGACGTACAGTAAGTGGCACCGATCTTACATTATTTTTTATCATACTTTACGGCCAAAACTCGACGTAAACAGACATAAATGGTACTAACACAAATTTCAGTTCTTTTACAAACACAACTGCTTTTTACAATATAGAATTTGATGCACAAAAAGGACAGAAATCACTGATTGAATAGGTCGGGACCAAACCACAAACTAGCGACAACGCCAGACTATGCACATGCCGCTCAAATGTGCAACAATGATGTAATGTTTGAACTATTTTTTGATCACGGTTCGCAGATAACATCAATCTCTTTATCGGCCAGAAACTTCAAAACAAATTCCTCTGATCGATCAACTTTACAGGAAACATGCTACCCAAGATCTAAATGGAACTTTCCTTTCATTTGGTATCTATAAAAGCAGATCAAGGAGATTCTTCAGTCAAATCTTGCACTGGATGTGTCGAATGCAGTGGGCAGGTGAGTCCAACTCTGCCAATAAAAACGTTTACGCGAAAAAATGAAGCTTTGCCGAAGTTTACTTTATGCATGAAAATGTTGCCATTATAAATCTCCATCGATTCACCGTGGAAGGTTTTATGTTTACTGTGGCATTTCTTAAAAATAACAGCCATGCCATGTTGGCTGCCGGTATTTCAAATCTCGTTATTTTCCCAAAATCGTGCGGGAAAATTACATCATTATCACGAGACCTGATGAAAATGACTTCATTGCTGCTTGAACTAGCGACATAAGTAGAAACTAGAGACGTCGCTAGATTGTAATTTGGTCCCCAACCTGTTGAAAACAAACACTTTTACACGCTTTAGAGGTGCCATTTCGCTGGACTCCCCAATAAAACAGCGTGATTCGACTGAGTAGTTGTCTTTTACCCAACTCAGGTAAAAAATTTAGCATTACGTCACTTGACCCCTCATCGTCTCAACGGCTGTTCCATGTCAACACATCTAAACTGCTGCCAAAGTTTTGGAAGAGTCCGTTGGTACATGCAGTATCTTATCGCTCAGTCCGTTTATTACATGTCTTGACATGGAACAGCCGTTGAGACGATGAGGGGTCAAGGTGACGTAATGCTCAACGACCTTATTTTAAAGATGGCGACTGTGAGAGTGGGCCCGTTAGATTGAATGGATGAAGGAAAAAAGACTGCAAAATACCTGAATAACGTGAGTGAAATCATTCAATAAATGGTATTAAGAAAACGGAAAGGTCAAGAATCATATTAGTGTGCAAAAGAAATTGCGCCCACAATTATAAGTTGGTGCGCCAAAAATGTTCATTTCGCCGACACGAAATAGCGCATACGGATGTGTGGCTAAGGATAAATCGGGAGTGATCCGTGCCACACTAGTGGGGCTAGGTGTAACATTACAATTTCATGCCAGAAACACGCATTGCATCGATTAACATGATGAATGAAGCAAACAAATTGAGGCATGGAGGAAGGAATTCACACTAGCATGACTAGGAAGAGCCTGTCGTTGGGTGACCGATGCGATCACGACTGATCAGCAGGTGATCAGTGACAGCCAAAAACGGACATGACGGACGGCAACTTCGTTAGACGTTAGCATCTTGTCGGCAAAACGCAGACTTAAAACAACATGCAAGGAAATAATTCAACCTACCTCAATCCAAAAGGCCCTTGGTAAATCCCGCAGAATAACCCAGGACACTCTTTACTGAGATTTTCTGTCGTTTACTTCCGTAGTTTGATTGTAAATATTCGAAAAGCACAAAGTCTGTCGAAAGACGCCATCTTGCGTACAAACTGCAAATAACAAGTGCATCATGGGAATTAATCATCCAAACAGCGCAAGTTATCGTTGAAGAGCTTGCACGTGATTCAGTATTCTTACCCCGATTCGAAAAATGGATTTTTCAGAGCGCATATTGATTTGATTAAATCGCCATACTAAACTGTAAAAAATTAATTTATATGTATATATTGTTAACTTATTACATTCATTTTGTACAGTATTAGTATTTTGTATTTTTTTAATGAAAATAAGTGTTGTTTAGACTATTCTATTTTTAAAAGAGGGGTGGGCAATAATTCTGTATTTGGACGAGTAGTTTATAACAAACACCCACGATTGATTGCTGAAGGTGGGTTGTCGACAGTCATACTTCAGAAATGTAGGGCGGGTAGGCCAAATATTGCAAAAATAACTTTAGACTCCGGAGTTCCCTTTTTAAATAAGTAGTGTCTGATTAATTCAATGCATATGTTTTGTTCTATAGCTGAA